ATTATCACGTGATCCATTTGTCTTGATTTTGGTTATGGATTTCCAAGTTCAATCCCTTGTTTTGTAACTAACCCAAATTTAGTTGTACTCACTAAGTGTTTGTTGGGTACATAATATTGATTAGGACTGGACAGGAAAACAACAAGATTTTAACTTTTCTTTTTTATTCTATCAAATCTTATACAGTACAATGTACCAAACTTACTTTAAATATATAACAGGTTGCTAAATAGTTAGGCACTAAGCTTGTATGCACCTGCAAAACTGGTGTCATTTAATGTTAGCACAACATCTTAACATGGTAGTGTAATTTAATGTTGGCAAGTATGTATGTGATGTAGTGTTAATTCATTTTGACACAAGCAAGTCACTCGGTTTTTGCTAAACCATTTTTTTTCCATTCATTTGTCGTATTTTCTTTCCCCTTTGCGGTTTTGTGTGTGGGACCATTTCAAAGATCTGGAGGCAATGTCTTTGCAAACATCAAGGATCTATCAAAATTTGTGCAAAAATCAATGCATCTATCAAAATTTGTCGCAGAAATGGTTGCATCTTTTAGCCTTTCCCTTGCAGTCTTAAAAATTGTTGAACTAAACAACCCCGTACACTTAACTCCAAAGAGGATTATGCATTTTGGAATGCTATTTGAAGCGATCTTGGAGTTTCCGGATAAGCTTGTTTGGAACGTTTTTACACGTATAGCTGTCACCCCCGAGTATGAATCCCTTAGAAATGGAATTGATTTTTTCATGAGCAAGCATCTCAACAAGTCCGGCTAATAAAATCAGCTGGCAAAGGAGGCCCTTAACAATGTTGAAGCTGTGCTCATGTGAGTTAGGCTGTTGCATTTGATCTTTTGGCATTTGTATACAGCGCAGATACCAAGATCAATTTTGTTGTTCGAGGGAAAATTTTGTCTACTGAAAGTATATTTATTTAATATATAATCATAGTTGTATATTGCATGTAGTGGAAAATGATTACTCTTTTAAGAGCTTCATCTGGTTAGATAGAATAAAGTTTCATTTGGAAAAAATATGATACACCATTTTTGTCATGTCTCTCTACCCTATCATTTACCATTCTAGGTAAGTTCTGATGTTATTTCCTTCTGGCAATAGCCCTACCATTTCATATGCAATTTTCATGCAGCAATTAGAGTGTCGAACTCTGACAAAACTTGATAAGAAGTTACGTCTTTGGCAGACCACTAACTTGCTTTACGTATTGCGTGCACACGAAATTGACTGAGCGTGATAATTAAATACAAACGAAGTTCGTTTTATGTATGTAAAAGTGTGAGTTTGTTAGGATATGACAATGAATAATGTTACTTGTAGTTATAGCTACAGAAAGTTTTACAGATTGATAATATGTCAAAAAGAAAGTGTGAAAGTTTTTCTTTCTAATCTGGTTGAAGAGATTTTGATTCAATCATATCTTACCACATTATATCCATAAATGACGATATAAATGTAACACAACTATGCAGCAAAATGAGAGTTGTGAGGGAGAGAAGAGGGGGTAGGTTGCCCAAAACGATGTGCACATTACTTCCTATAACAAAATACCTACTGCACCTCGTTTGGCCTTATCTGCTACTGGTTTTGCCTTGCTGGTATTTTTCCTTGCCTTTTGTCTCTCATGACAATTTCCATTCAAGAATTCTGTTAGAAAAAAATTTATTCGTCTCTCGTATTTTTAAATAAGTAAAAACAACAAATACAAATATACGTCTATCATTTCAGAGTATGCTAAAAGAATATTTACATATAAATCGTCGTCCGAGAGAGATAAGATAATTACAGGAAGGTTAAGGAAAAGAATGATCAAGATTGAAAACCTTCAATGCAATTAAAACATATTGCTTCAAATAAAATTTACAGCTTCAATAAATGAATTTTCTAAAATTCGACTCTTTACAACTGAAGGGTTCAGTTACATATGGAGTTTTTCTCTCAAAATCTCACTCTAAAGATAATGAGTTAGAATTCTATTCTAATTAAGGGTTCTTCTGGCTCCGGAGGTTCCAGGAATGGAGAGCTTTCCTCCTATTTGTCAACTCTTTGATCTAAATAATGCTGATTTTAAGAATGAGTTAATAACTCCTTGGGTTGCTTTACTAGAGAACAAGAATCTCTATTTTTTCGGTCAACGAAAATTTGACTTATTTGAAAAAGGGAAAACTCCAACTCTATGCATGAGTCTAATTCATGATAATGAATAACCAATCTTGATACCCATTGAATGATGCAAAGCAAGTCCATTCGTATTTTCTGGAACTTCTTCGTAGTGGCTCTCTTCATATCTCATTTCAAAGCTCCGATCTACCTTTGCACTTGAGGGTCAAATCTCCGTTCGACCCGAGGAAACCTCTACACACTTTTGTTGCCAAGGAGGTTGTTGTAATTATTTAAACGCGAAGGATATTTGTTGTAAACTTCAGCATCTTTTGGATGGAAACATTTATCAAAGTCAAAATGTGTTAATTAATTGAATGTTAAATATAATAATGCGTTGAAAAAGTTATGAACATAAGTGTTACAATAAACAAAAATTTGGGATTTTAAGTGAAATTAAAATGTGGTGTAACTAATAGAATTTGTGATGTATTATCCAAGAGTTTTACGAGGATAATGATATAACCCTATTTGGATGGACTAATAACAAATTTTTAGTTGATTTTGATGAAAGTTAAAGTGACCATTTTTTATGGTTTAGATTTCATGGTAATTGATTATTTGGTATACAATTTGTAATAGTTAACCTCTGAAAATAGATAATGAATCCAATAGTAATATCTTGATGATAGAATGAAGATGATTATAAGAAGGTAGGGTTTGTGAGTGGTAAGAATTTATGTGTTATTTTTTAACTTCTCAAACTTTTTTTTTTAACCATAATTCATATTACCCATATAATAATCATATCTCAAATACTTATAATATACAAAACAAATCATCACATCACAATATTAATAGCATTCAAATCAAGCATTAAATGCTCTTAAAAAGGAGTAACAAAGGGTAATATGGACTTTTCACAACACAAAAGTGACATTTTTGAACATTGCTGGTGCAAATGAAATATTTTTGTGCATATTCAAATTTAGCAACATTTGTGAAAATTTCCCTATATATAATGGATGGAAGTTTTCCATTCAATATAACTTGGGACATTAAGGGGGTGTTTGATAGACATTTTTATGTAAAAATGGATTTTTGAATAGTAAATTAATGTGAAATGTGTGGTTGAGAAATAAGAAAAAGTTTTTTTATTTACGTGTAATATTATTTTAATAAAGATTGTGTGGTTGAAAAGAAGAGAAAAAAATACATTTTGAAAAAAATGGCTACCAAACGGGGTCTAAGTGCATGTTTGGTATCCATTAATTTATTTTATTGTTTGTTATAAGATAATTTTTAATTTCACATTCATACAATAAAATATTTTATATCTATATCAAAAAATTTTCTACTTTTTAATCAATATTTCTCATAAAAATATTATTTAAAACTCATTTTTCCGTTTGAAGATATAATCACCGCCACTGGTTGAAATGGTCAAGTTCTAGAAGCCCATTTTTTATTTAATGACTTTTCTTTTTTTATTTGCTACCATAATGCATTTATATTTCAATTATACTTTTCCCTATGATTTTCTTTAACTTTCTTCTTAAAGACAGTCTAGAGTATTCTAAAATGTATGTTCATATTCATTTTCAATATATTCTAAAACTCTTACTTTTTCATTTTTTTTCTTTAAACAATATAATAAAATTATTCAATATTCGAGTAATAATTTTTTAGATTTTTATATTTTTATAAAAGAATATCAATTATACTTCTCGCTATGATTTTCTTAAGGCTCCGTTTAGTACCCTTTTTTTCAAAATGCATTTTTCTCTCTTCTTTTCAATCACACATTTTTTATTAAAATAATATTATACGTAAATCAAAAAAAATTTCTTATTTTTTAACCATACATTTTCCATCAATTTACTATTTAAAAATACATTTTTACATAAAAATGTCTCCCAAACACCCTCTTAAACTTTCTACTTTCTTAAAGACAGTCTAGAGTATTCTAGAAGGTATATTCATATTCATTTTCAATATATTCTTAAATTCTTACTTTTTTTTTTTTTTTTTTTTTCCTTAAATAATATAATAAAATTATTCAATATTCAAGTAATATTTTTTTTTTAGATTTTTATAAAAGAAAAGCAATGGGTATATGCGTAATTGCCCAAAATATAGGTCGGCTTTGGCGGCTCTCGCTTCGGTGTCTATAAATAGGTACAAACCCTAAACGTTCTTCATTAGATTCAGATCTTGTTATTTTCAAGTATTTTGGTTTCAAGAATTCGCTGCCTATCAAGGTATGAGGGGTTCTTAAAAATTTTCCGGGTGTATGTGATTTTTGTAATTAATCAAAAAATATTTTGTAATTCTTCCGGGTTCGATATTTTTTTAAAAGCTTTGGATTTTTATTTTTTGTGCTTGATTTTTTGTTTTAAGTTTGGATCTTGATTGTCGGAAGATTTTTGGAACAGATCTGCTCGTGGGTTGTAATTTCGTTTTCTTAATCTTAGTCGACTTTTACAGAAGTCGAGATGTAATTCTTTTAGAATTTCTTAGAATATAATTTTTCTCAAAATCTGCTATTGATATTGCGATCTGGCCTTCTTTTTCTTGGTTTTATCCAATTTGTTTTTGACCTTTTCCATACATTTGATTTCTGCGATTTCGTATATCATATTGAAGATCGGGTTCTGATAAAATATATAAATTCTTATCTGGTCCTATTTTTGCTAGTTTCATCCCTTTTTTAGGCTTTCTCCCCTTTTCATACATCAAATTAATTGGATTTTATGGACTAGATTGAAAATCAGATTTTAATACATCGATTGCAAAATTATTTGGGGTTTTTAATTTTTGGCTTTTGATGCAATTGATGACTCAATTTTATATTGTTTTGCCTTTTTTTTTCTTAATCCTTTGTTTTTTAGCAGTTTGATCCCATGAAGCATTATCTTTCCTTTTTATTGGCATCGATTCAATCTGAAATTACTTTCTTTTCAAAGATCATCACAGATGGGTAACTTTTACCTGATTAGTCAAACTGTTTCATGTAGTCTTCCTCACTGATTTTCCCCATTTTCATATGATTCTGCAATATGATACAATGGAATTAAAATATCTATTTTGTTTGTGGTTATTGCCAATTCAATCTAAAATTGTTAATTTTCAAAGTCAATTCAAATTATATTAGTTCATGCTATCTGACAGTTGATTTTAATTTCCGACAGATGCAAATCTTCGTCAAAACCCTAACTGGAAAGACCATCACTCTAGAGGTGGAAAGCTCCGATACAATTGACAATGTAAAAGCCAAGATACAAGACAAAGAAGGAATTCCACCAGACCAACAAAGGCTGATCTTTGCTGGAAAGCAACTTGAAGATGGTCGGACCCTTGCTGATTATAACATCCAGAAGGAGTCCACCCTCCACTTGGTTCTCCGTCTCCGTGGAGGCATGCAAATCTTTGTCAAAACTCTCACAGGGAAAACCATTACCCTTGAGGTTGAGAGCTCTGACACGATTGACAATGTCAAGGCCAAGATCCAAGATAAGGAGGGAATTCCCCCGGACCAGCAGAGATTAATTTTTGCTGGCAAACAGCTTGAAGATGGCAGAACCCTTGCAGATTACAACATCCAGAAGGAAAGCACACTTCACTTGGTGCTAAGGCTCCGCGGAGGCATGCAAATTTTTGTGAAGACCCTTACCGGGAAGACTATAACGCTCGAGGTGGAAAGTTCTGACACTATTGATAACGTGAAGGCAAAAATCCAGGACAAAGAAGGCATTCCCCCAGATCAGCAGAGATTAATTTTTGCTGGCAAACAGCTAGAAGATGGCAGAACACTTGCAGATTACAATATCCAGAAGGAAAGCACCCTTCACTTGGTGCTAAGGCTCCGTGGAGGCATGCAAATTTTTGTGAAAACCCTTACCGGGAAGACTATAACACTCGAGGTGGAAAGTTCTGACACTATTGACAACGTCAAGGCAAAAATCCAGGACAAAGAGGGCATTCCCCCTGACCAGCAGAGATTGATTTTCGCTGGCAAACAGCTAGAAGATGGCAGAACTCTTGCGGATTACAATATCCAGAAGGAAAGCACCCTTCACTTGGTGCTAAGACTCCGTGGAGGCATGCAAATATTTGTGAAGACCCTTACTGGGAAGACTATAACACTCGAGGTGGAAAGTTCGGACACTATTGATAACGTCAAGGCTAAAATCCAGGACAAAGAGGGCATTCCCCCTGATCAGCAGAGGCTTATTTTTGCTGGGAAGCAGCTTGAGGATGGCCGCACCCTTGCTGATTACAACATTCAGAAGGAGTCAACCCTTCATTTGGTGTTGAGGCTGCGTGGTGGTATGCAGGTCTTTGTGAAAACTCTTACTGGGAAGACAATAACGCTGGAGGTTGAGAGCTCAGACACAATCGACAATGTGAAGGCTAAGATCCAGGACAAGGAGGGGATCCCACCAGATCAGCAGAGGCTGATCTTTGCTGGCAAGCAACTCGAGGATGGAAGGACCTTGGCTGATTACAACATTCAGAAGGAATCCACCCTTCACTTGGTCTTGAGGCTTCGGGGTGGTATGCAGATTTTTGTGAAAACCCTCACTGGGAAGACAATCACTCTCGAGGTCGAGAACTCCGACACCATTGATAATGTGAAGGCCAAGATCCAGGACAAGGAGGGTATTCCTCCAGACCAGCAGAGGCTAATCTTTGCTGGTAAGCAGCTTGAAGATGGACGTACATTGGCTGATTACAACATTCAGAAGGAATCTACCCTTCACTTGGTGTTGAGGCTTCGTGGTGGTATGCAAATATTCGTCAAAACGCTCACCGGGAAGACTATTACCCTCGAGGTGGAGAGCTCTGACACCATAGATAATGTCAAGGCTAAGATCCAGGACAAGGAGGGGATCCCACCAGACCAGCAGAGGTTGATCTTTGCCGGAAAGCAGCTGGAGGATGGAAGGACTTTGGCTGATTACAATATCCAGAAGGAATCTACCCTTCACCTTGTTCTCCGTCTCAGAGGCGGTTTCTGAATGTTTTAGTCTTCTTGAATGTTCCAAACTCCATGCTTACTTTTGCTTCAAACTTTTATGCATGTTTTTTCTTTATAATGATTGGTCTGTAAGCCTGTTAAGGCGTATGAAGTTTTATGGTGATGTGTTTTAGTATATGAATAAAACTCGTGTTTAAAGTTTACTGATGTTGGCAAATCGTGGTACTCATTGTGTTGCATTACACTTATTGTATTAAATTACAATCAACCTTTCATTACAAAGCACATTTTATCTGATTCCATAAAAAAATATCCATTTAAAAGATTTATTTGCCCTAATAATTTAAGATAAGCATAAAGTGATAATTAATAGAAAAGCGTGACAACAGTATTTTTATTTTTTTTTAATTTCAAAGCATACAAACCTACATCCGTTTGGCCCCCATTTCATTTCTCTATCTTATTTTTAACTACAAAATCTTCCATAAAATAACCCGAACTACTCATTTTTCAAAAAAAAAGTTCACTTCACCTATTTTCATTTCCACAAAATAGAGGCCAAACAGGATTTTAATAGTTTGTTAGTAACAATTATCAAAGGCTAGATGTGCAATTGAATTGGAGGTCGAGGATACGTGTTCGACCCAAAAAAAGTTCGGGACATAAACACTTGAATGAGCAAATGTTGACCTCAAATTGTTTAGAATAATGTAGCACAAGTTTTGGCTTTCACAGAGACGGAGGGAAAATTGTTATTTCAGTAATAATTCTCAACTTTTCTCCACATTTTACAAAGTAAAACACAATCTCAAAACTAGTCCTTACTAGAATACATCGGAACCAAGTCTAAATCAACGGTTGACCATATTTTTCAGTTTCTTCAACATCTAGCAACATTATCTTCCTTGAAAAGAATGTGTAGTAATGATTCGATACATAAAGAAGCCGGAATCACCTCGTCCACCTCCAAAACACAATAACGATGATGATAGTAAAAACCATGCCTACATACTTGATCCATTTGTCAACACGATTCCGCCTCTCAATAAGCCTCAACAGAGTGCTTGATAGCCCCAAAGTGTTCAAAACATCCAGTGCTTTCCTTTGAGCTCTCTGCACCAAATCCAACAAGAAGTTGATCAGCTGTTGTACCCCTGTGTGAAAAAATCAAGTTGCGTTTTCCCAAATTGGTGCTCGAGATTGGGAGTTTTCATTCTCGGATTACACCAACAAAGTTGCAATGATTTGATATAAATGATGACAGCACGAGACAAGTATGACAAAATTCCTTTTTCATCTAAAAGATATTACAACTCTAACAGCAGAAAAGGTTCACTTTCAAAATCCAAAACACGAGGGCAGAAAAAGTTTCACTTCCAAAACACGAAAGGGTAATGTATACCATAGTCATGCAGGAGACATTAGTGAACATAAGCTAAATACAGACTATTCCTAAATGCATCTGAAACCAGATTTTTCAATTAAAAAATGCCTAAGCGAAATTAAAGCTCAATTCTGACTTTGAATTATTCTCTGATAAAGATGTCAGCCCGTGGCATCTAGACAAACCAGTATGCAAAGTATTTAACTAATATGTTTGTATTTGTCTCCATACACATTTTATACAGGGTAAACCTTTTTGCACCGTTAGATCCGACTGCTATTTTTGGCATTGTTATCCTTGTACCTTCAATAGATTGGGATCCATAGTCCTTTCCAATAGTTTCCGTCTAGAAAGTCAGTTAAAGGCAATGTAAGAATACAAAGCCACCCTTCATTCATATAATCATAAAAATAAAAATATCAGAAACAATGGAAAATTTCATCTTCCTTGCGAAACAATGGAAAATTTCATCTTCCTTGCGACCCACACAGAATTCCAACAGATTCCTCTCTTTAACACAGTTCCTCCTCTTCATCTTCATGTGTGCACCGACCAGGCACACCAAAAAGCATTGACCAAAAAAATTGAGAAAATCATACCCCAAATCTAAAATGAAACAAAACAAACAAATGGATAAATAATTGGACTTTATATGTCGTCGATTGGCACCACTCCACAATTGTTCTCAATCATTTTCAAAAGGTTATCGACAAGAAGGAAAGATTTCATACCTTTTTGGAAGTGATTAAATTACGATCACTTATGGTCAAACATAATTTTTATTCATACATTTTGTAGGACCCACAATCTATGTTGCATGGACACATACACAAGTGTCGGACACAATACCACATGGACACGTATATCTAAATTCTATAAAATAGTAGATTTATATATTCTTTCTTTATATTTATACTTTTTATCTCTCAGCAAAATCAATTCTTTTCTTAGTTTTAATTTTAGTTTGTGAAATCTTTTATATTGGTTGAGTATCTACTTTATACTGCCAGGGGAAAAAAACATTTAGTACATGTCATGCAATGTTCAAGAAGTATCAATGACAAACACAACACGAAATGACGACACACAGCACTAGTAAGAATGTTTGTGCATCATGGCCCACAAGTACTACTCACTCACTCATCATCCACACATACTATAGGACATAGCTTATAAGCACTTCCTAAACATACACTTAATTACCATTCAGGCATTCATGATTAAAAGCTCATCTTCCATACTAGCTCTTTAAACCATCTCATTTCTTGATATGATTTTCATCTTTCCACTGCAAAATGTAAATCAAAATTGCATTTGGAAAATGTTTTTACTTAACGAATACTAAAATAAAATTTCATAATAAATTTCTCGTTTAAATGATATTATGATTTGGGTATATCCTCGTGTCATCAGCAATGGCCGATTTCTTTGAGTTGTGTGAATTCTCCTCTATTTTGGGCTTGAGATTTCTTTTTAAGAAATTGGGTGGGTGAGAGTTTCGGATAATTTTGTATATGTATAATTTGCAAGCAATAAATTGACTAACTTTTGTGGCATGTGTTCTTCAGGGACTACATGATGAGGATATAGGACGACGTTTACTTATTTTATTTAAGTTTTATTTATTTTCTTGGACTATTATTTAAATTTGGACTTGTATGGGCTTGGGCCCAAGCTCGTTAGGGTTGCTTTACTATTTAAACCTATTTTGCAGTGTAATTTTCAGACGATGATGAATTAGAATTGAAATATTTTTGGTGGCTTGCAGCCGTTTTCTCCCTCCCCTCTCTTCCCCTGGTTTCTTCTCCTCTTCTCCCTTCTCTCTGTTTCTCCTCCCCGTTCCTTCTTCTTTCTTTCTTATTCATCCTACATCAAATTTGGTATCAGAGCCTAAACTTGGGTAATCTCTCATCTCCAATCCAAAAATCTCTTTCTATTTCTTTCCTAAGAACTTGTGGAACAGCACAAACAAATAAACTTTTAGCATGAGCAGCGAAGTTATTATTTTTCCAGCTTCTTCATAGTTGTTCCCAAAAAAAAAAACTGTTCACAAGCGGAAATTTTAGTTTAGGTTTTTTTCTGCAATTTCAGTTCACACCCCAGCCACCAAAAAAAAAAAACTCGTGTTACTGTTCACGGGGTACTATTCACACCCGAAAATTCATTTTTTTTGTATTATCAGCTTTAAAAAAAAAGTTACTGTTCACCTCAAAAAAAAAAAAAAATTTCTCATTTTTTCCCTGTTGCTCCTCATAAATAAAAAAAAAATTTAATTGTGGTGTTGTTCCACAAATCTCAAACCCTAGCATTCAAGCCTATTTAGTCCTTCAGCCCATATATTCCATCTCTATAACCTACTCCATTCATTTTTCTATCAAAACACTTGGGTCATAAGCTAGTGGCCCAAATTACTCCCAAAGCCCACTAAACGCACAGCCCATCTCTCATCATCTATTTAGCCAATCCACTTGCTTTTCAACCTAATAAACACTAAATCCATCCCACTTATCACATATTATCACAATCGGCCTAACACCATTCAACCCATGATCAGTCTCAAATATCCAACCAAGCCCGATTATAACCAATCCATTAACATCAAATACCCCATAGTTTCACCCGATTTCTCACTCATAACCACTCTCTTGTCGCTGCCGCTGCCGCTGCCGCCTCTAATCACCATCACGCCACCACTTCATTATCTATTGTACCCAGGCATCCAGAGCACTACCGCTTCATCGCAATAGGCCACCACCACCAACCCAAGATCATACACTTCCACCACAATTACCACACTCATATATTTCCTCGTCCATCTCAACAATCTAAAAGCCACAGTCACTACACACAGTTTTACGTCTACACCAGAACCAGCACAAGTTACAGTCTACAGGGGCTAAAACCATTGGATACGAAGGGAAGATCAGAAGCATAGTTGGGGCTCATAAGTCGGCAATTCAGATCAATCAGCATACAAATAATCAAAACTAACCAACAGGGAGTCCTTGATCTCTATTTAGTATTGGTTTATACTACTGCTTCATTTTTAAAATTGCATCAATTAAAATCTTGTGCTGCTGTTATCGTGATAATTTTAGCCTTAAACCCCACTTGATCGAAACCATTAATCCAATTGACACCAGTGACCGAATTGACTTCCATTGTTCTCCACTTAAATTGATTGGAGAATTTGACTAGTGTGTTTGACCCTTGCTTTGCCATTTTACATGTACCAGCAGTATTAACTTGTTTTGGATTTAATTAATCCCAATATTTAAAATTAAATAAAAAAAATTGGTACAAGTTATTTTCCATTGCTTGCACGTATTGTTCACTGATCTCATCATAGCACATCATTCGGCTGGTGTTACATTGCATGTAGTTGCGTAGTGGTCGTCTTGTCATCTCTATTTCCAATACATTGACCATGGATCCATCCCAATTTGATGCACTCACTAGACAATTAGCGCAACTTTCCACTAGTCTATCGACTGTCCAATCAGATATAACTGCTACTCGTGAGGAGAGAAAGATCCTAGCTGCTAAGTTGAGCAATTTTAAGCGAACCCCTCGTTTGACTGACACTAATTCTGAAGCATCTCATAATAGACAATATCATCGTAGACAAAGTGATCAAGAATATTTTCGACGCGATCGTAGGAATAGGGATCAGGTTCGTGAGCGAGAACAAGGCCATGATCATCATGGTACTCATTCTCTTCCTCGTCGTAAGGAGCGTTTCTCTGGAGACATTGACTTAGATATTCCTACTTTCGATGATTGCTTAGATCATGAAATTTTTACCCAATGGAACGCCTTTACACAAGAGAATCGTATAGTAACTGAGTACATTGCTCAATTTGAGGAATTTCAAGCGAAATGTCACGTCGATGAGGATGAGGCCCTGACTTTAAGTAGGTTTATACAAGGTCTACGAAATGAACTTAGGCGTGAGCTTTTCTTTCGAGGCATCACTACTCTTGATCAAACTTACTCTTTAGCTCGGGACTACGAGTTACTTATCAGTACTGCATATAAAAAGCGTGATCACCATCGTTCACCCATTTCATTAGCGTCATCTCATCATAAGTCTATCATAGAGCCTTCCCAGTCTAGTGTTCCTTCCCTTTGAAAAAACAAGTGTAAAGGTCGTGATAGCCCAAGGTCGTCTTCGTCATGTAGAAAGCGTAATAACAATCATCTTTCGGTGTCATTGGCTCCACTTCCTCCTGTTAAGTCCCTTCTAGGACCTCCCCCGTCTAATGTTCCTCTAATTTTGGAAAATAAGGGTATAATTTGTGAAACTCCAAAGACTTCTCACTTGCTATGCATCAGTTGTAAGGACTTTGGCCACATCTCTTCCAAATGTCCTAACCGAGCCTTAGTCATAGAAGAACGAAAGAATGCAATAGAAGAGTCGTTAGAAGATCTAGCATATGGCCCTAAACTTGAAGATTTTGATGATTCTTGTGGAATCCCGACCATTCCCGAGACTTTAGAAACTATACCCCTTGTTTCCGACAACTCTCGATCACATGTTATATGTCATACCCTTACCCAACTCAAAGAGTTTGATGATTTCACTAGTCACCCTTGGAGAATCCAGTCGCTTGTTCTTAACACTAAATCGAAATTATCCACTACTGACCAACCTAAAACTGATGGTCAAAAAGAAATTGCTAACCGAAGTCTTGGCAATTTATTACAGTCTCTAGTCGAGAAAAATCTTGAGAATTGGAACTCGATCCCCCCAACTGTTCACATCGCATATAACAATTCTATGAATCGGTCTCTAGATCTAAATCCATTTGAAGTTGTTCATAGTTATAAGTCTAGGCGACCGTTAGATCTTATTCTCATGTCCCCGCATGCTAGTGTGTCGTTGTCAACTGAAGCATTTGTATATCATTTTCATGACTTGCATATTGAGATCAATAAACAACATGACGCAGGTAATGCATTATTTAAACTTCAAGCAGATTCGCATAAACGATATTTTGAATTTAATATTGGGGATTATGTCATATTGCAAGCTTGTAGTGCTGGTCCTTTAAAAATTTTAAAGTATGTTGGTTCAAATGCACATGTCATTGCTCTTTCATCACATTTTAGCCACCACTTTGCTTTAAATATTGAGGACTTCATTACTTACAAATACCGTATTACTTCCTTTGATGATCCATTTCTACCTAACTTTGTGGACCCCCAATTTGACTATATTGATATTTCTACTTTAATACCATCTATCACAGCACACAAAGATAAAATTGATGTTATTTTAGATGAACGTGTTGTATTGACCAATGATGGCAAAATTCAGTACTTCCTTGTTTGTTGGGTAGATCGACGTACTTCTTATGCTCCTCATTATGTACAATCATATGAAAATTTTGAAGATGAGGTGCATGAGTATTGGTTATTTGAAATCCAGTATCAGTACTTGGTTAGAAGGAAAGATCGCCCCCCTTGGTCAGATCATATTCTTGTAAATAAGCTACAGTTTTCAGTACTATCAATTATGGAATTTCGTTACTTGGTTCGTCAGAAAGATCGTCCCCCATAGCTTGACTTGAAGCATTTGGAGTATCAGATTGACTGCAGCCTATACTATCTATCAACTTGACAGGGTCGAGTTTTTCTCCCACCCCGGGAGAGTTGATGAGGACATCGGACGACGTTTACTTATTTTATTTAAGCTTTATTTATTTTCTTGGACTATTATTTAAATTTGGACTTGTATGGGCTTGGGCCCAAACTCGTTAGGGTTGCTTTACTATTTAAACCTATTTTACATTGTAATTTTCAGACGATGATGAATTAAAATTGAAATATTTTTGGTGGCTTGCAGCCGTTTTCTCCCTCCCCTCTCTTCCCCTGGTTTCTTCTCCTCTTCTCCCTTCTCTCTGTTTCTCCTCCCCGTTCCTTCTTCTTTCTTTCTTATTCATCCTACATCACTATAGGCATGATTGGAGAAAGTGGTGGCGGGTGCAATTCAGTGTGACATCCCAATCCACATGTTATGATATTGTTCACTTTGGATGAAACCCACACGATTTTGTTCTTGGGCTTTCACCCAAAAGGCAACATACGACTTGGGAAAGGTACTTTTTATAAACCAATCTCATTTTCCTTCCCCAAGTAATATGGGATTGTGGCTGCTTGATCACTCCACCTTAGGGGGCCAATATCCTCGTTGGCCACACTTCCAGTTCGATATACGCTCTCATACAATTTTGTAAAGCCACATTCCACTTGGTATGATATTCTGCTTCGAGTCTAGCTGGCACAGTTTTGCTCTTGGATTTTCACCCAAAAAGGCCTCATACCCATTTCTCACCTGTTTGGATGCCCTTTTTGATGGAACAATTTGCGCAAGTGTAAGTTAACGAAATTGTGAGATTATACGGTATTCCAGCTTCAATTATATCGTATATGGACCTAAGGTTCACCTCAAACTTTTGGAAGGGTTTGCACAAGGCAATGGGAACGAAGCTAAAATTTAACACTCATTACATCCCCAGGCAAATAGACAACTTGAGTAAAAAATTGAAACTTTCGAGGACATGCTATGAATTTGTATTCTTGACTTTAGAGGGAATTAGGAAAAGCATTTGGCATTGATTGAGTTTGCGTGCAACAATAGCTACCATGCATCCATCTGCATGGCACCTTATGATGAGTGGGGAGGAAACGCAAATCATGAGTTCATTAGGATGAAGTGGGCAAGTGCAAGATATTTAGGTTCAAAAATTGTTGAGCAAACTGCAAGCTATTAAGAAATGTGAACTATCATGAAAACAGCTTGAGACGTACAAAAAAGCTACGCAAATAAGAGATCCTAGAATATACAGTGGGTGACAAAGGATTCCTCAAGGTTGCTCCAATTAAAGAAGTATTACAATTTGGTAAGAGAGACAAACTTTAACAGAGGTTCATTACCCATATGAAATCTTGAAGAGAATTGTAACCTTGGCTTTACTACCGTCCATAATGTCTTTCATGTGAGCAAGCTTAGAAAGTACATTCTTAGACTACTAGATGTTAGGCTTACAACGAGACCGGGCTATGAAGAGATACCAACTAGCATTGTCAATCAAAATATTCAAAAGATCATATACAAATAAGTCCCACTAGTGAAAGTACAATGGCAAAACCATTCGATCGAGGAGGCTACATGAGAAAGTGAAGAGAAAATATGGGCAAAATACATATCAAAATTATCATTTTTCCATACATTGCAGTGCTTAAATATTTAATTAAGACGATTGAATACATTTATATGTGCATAAGTTATGTTGATTGCAGACAATTACATAATCAAATCTTTTAGAATGAGCAGAGCTTACCTTTTTATCATGGACAAAATTATGGCAAGAATAAGGTCATTCATAATAAGCACAATTGAAAGCCCTTCCTTACCTATAAACACACATACCTCTCAACACATTCACTCTACAACACAGTCTTATTTACAGACAAACTCTACCAAAGTTCTTCACATTTTGAGACACTGTTGATTTTTCAAAGTTCAAGGAAATTCTCCAAGGTTTCAAATGAGGGAATCAAGTTTTCAAGTTGTCTCAACGCTCAAATCATCAAGGTAAAATATAAAGTTACGAAAATTCATGTCCTTTTGAAAAGATAAGTATCATCCCTATGATTTGTCATGATATTATGAAAGCCTAACAATCAGATTAAAATGGGATTGGGTCCTACTAGTTAGATTGAAGCTGACAAGGGTATTGTCGTGCTACATGAAAGAAACAATGTCTAAGAATGAAAATGGCTCCATTTTCCCTTCTCAATATATGTTCATAGGATATCTCCATCTCATTTAGATTTCATGTTATTTTAGTTATATATATATATATATATATAATCTTGATGATTTAAGTGATGAGATGAGAACAAGAAAACTTGATTCCATCCTCTAAAACCTTGCAAAAAAAAATTCTTGAACTTTGAAAAACTAACACTTGCTCCCTCTATTTTCACTGTCAAAACGTGAAGAACTTTAGTGGAGCATGTGTGAGTTTGAATGTTGCAGATTGAACATGTTGAGAGGTGTGTGTATTTATAGGTGGGGAAGGACTTAGTTAATCGTGCTTATTATGGAATACTTTATTCTCTCATTTTTCATATTTGATTGCAAAACTAATTCCAATCGCTCTAAATCTCCTCATTCCCTTCCTTTTTATTCCTCAAAGATATCCAAAACATATTTCTCAATCAATTATTTTTAGCAATTATGATAAGAGAGGGATTGCTCCTCATTGCTGCAACTTTTGGATATTGCATATAAGCCCACTCAACAATTGAAATGTTTTCTATTTGGTCCTTGAATTCAAATTGTGGCATTTAGGTCCAAACGAGAAAACCTAAGGGTTTGGGGCATTGTACTTGAGGTAGCAAAATGGGCTATTGAAATGTATGTGTATTTTAGGGAGGAGGGCACCACTGGGGAAGATGAAAATTTTCATTATTTAATTTTTTTTATTAATTTAATTTATCTTATTTGAGTTGAAGGAAAATTTTGTCTATTATCACCGTCTTAACGGATTTTTGTGGCCGGATCTATTAGTAAGGACTATAGATGCTAATATACGAAAGGTTGGGATAGTAGGGCCAAGAAACAATGCTGAGGTTAAAAGTGCAAAAGGAATAGAGGTTGGGACGGTAGCCGCAATTATGTGCATCTGAAGTTGGCAAGCATCAATGTTACACACATTTAAGCGAGTTACATCTATTTGTAGTTTGCATGTTTTTTAAATCTAATACCTTCTAGTGATCCCTTTGCTTGCTATACTTAGAAAGAACAGCAATGCCAGTTGCATAAGCTTATTCTAGCATTCTAGAGGAGTTACCACTCAACTATTGAAAGGTTTTCTATTTGGTCCTTGAAATTCAAATTTTGGCATTTAGGTCCTAAGGAGAAAACCTAAGGTTTGGGGCATTATACTCGAGGTAGCAAAATGGGCTATTGAAATGTACGTGTGTATTTTAGGGAGGAGGGCACCACCGAGGAAGATGAAATTTTTCATTATTTAAATTTTTTTTTCCTTAATTAATTTCTTTCATCTTATTTGAGTTGAAGGAAAATTTAGTCGATTATCACCGTCTTAAAGGATTTTTGTGGCAGAATCCGTTAGCAAGGACCATCGACGCTAATATATGAAAGGTTGGGATAGTAGTGCCAAGAAACAATGTTGAGGTTAAAAGTGCAAAAGGAGTATAGGTTGGGACAGCAACCACAAGTTACAATTTTATATGTACATTTATGTGTATTTGTATTTGGCAGGCATTATTGTAACACACACAGTTAAGTGATCTACATCTATTTGTATTTTGCATGCATTTCAAATCTAATACCTTCAAGTGATCCCTTTGCTCGCTATACTTTGAAAGAACTGCTACGCCAGTCGCATAAGCTTCTTCTAGCATTCTAGAGGAGTTACGGACTGACTGTACTGCTTGTGCTTCCTCATCAAAAATTCTCAAGATATGAGAGGATTGCCCATTCTGGAACATAAAAGGAGAACAATACACAGATAGGTTACCTAATGAAAGAAAAAACAAGGCAAAGGAAAACCAGAAAATCAAGAAGGAAGATTCCATACAGCTCTACCAAGTAATTCTGCTCTCTCTTGGACTTCTTGCATCCGCTTCTGATGCCGTGATATGTACTTGTCAAGACTAGTTCTAAATGACTCAGCCTCCTCGACCACTTGCTCCACTTTTCTTCACAACATAGATAACGTCACTTCAGTCCAAAAACAAAATCACAAATTGCAAAAGAAGAACATAAAATCCACTTCAACTATCAGGGGATGCAGGTTACGCTTAGAAACTCTAAATCCTAATCTTAAAACCACAAACTAGAATACTTCAGCGAATACATCAGTAGAGAATTTCTTGTTTCCAGCTAAACATGAATGTGCAGTGAAGTGATGAAGTTATATGATCATTACGACTTACATGAAGGACTTTGATCAAAGATGAGGAACAATAAGAAAAAGAAGAAAATCTTGTGAATAACACATGGAGAACCAAAACTTGTGCTTAATGAATTTTTCACAAATTAACACCAGAAGTTCCAAATATTACGAATGTTCTAATCTGTCTGGGAACACCCAATGTCAGTCGAACAGAAAAACGGAAAAGCAAACATTGCCAGTTGGAAGCTAATAATTATATGATCTGCCTGAATACAAAAACAGAGGAAGATAATAGTTGTTCTATACGCATGGGTAATTGATGAAGAACTCAAGAAACTCCAAATTGTACAATCTGGCCAGTTCTTGGAGGGAAGTGAAGAAATCTACCTAGGAAGAGAACATAAAAAAAATAAAAAATAAAACAGGGGCTAGTTTAGTGCCGAAGTAAAGCTGATATTATAATGCAACTACAAACTAGTACACTTAGTATTTTGTTAGTTTCTACATTTTTTAACCCCGTCATAAAGAATAAGAAAACCATGTCCATATCACCACCAAAGCATCACTGTATAATGAGCTCTGCTCAAATTAAGAACCCTTGCACTAATATTCTCAGCATCCAATCTCCTGCAAAACAGTATCACACTCTCAAATTTTAAGTTCCCATCCAGTGAATGACAACTCACCTACCTCATGTCTTCTTTACACGAAAATATGCAACAGAACATTTAAAGAAGAATTGATACAGATAATGAAGGATCAGAGACACAAGTTCAAAGAAACACAGAGATGTGCCAGTTTTGCCAGGCATACATTAAGCAAAAGCGGGGAAATTCATGCACTGTCGTATATATGGATATGACTATAGAAATTATTCATCTTGAAGCATCTCCAATTGGGCTATGGATTGCCACATCACACCAAAATGTTTGCATGGAAAGGAAAAAGGTGGAGGATATCTAGCACACCATCCACATTCTCCACTTAATCTTTGTATAATTTAACTTCGTTGAAGGATGTGCCTATGTAATTTTTTATAATTTACCTCCCCCTCTTTCTCTACAACCAATCTCTTGAACATGTGGCCCACTATGAGCGTAATCTACATCCCATTGGAGACCCCATTTTGCTTGCACGTGTACAATAACTCATATTGTTGCATTGGAAATGCAACTAGCAATCACCATGATCATACAAGCAGCATCAAATCGATAATGAATTCAAACTATATCTTTCCAATTTTAAAAATTCAGTTTCAATTTAAACTGCTAACATTGCATATAAATGGCCTCTTTAATCCTTTTTCCAAATTTTCCAATCCCGATCAATCAAATCAAGACTCTATAATCATACACACAACGCGAATTCCTACCTAACATCAAATTCATTAATTCAACTGCATAAATACCCTCGCACACACCTTTTCCAGAGATCGCGCTGAGACTTGTCGGCGATGGAACGCCAGAGACGATCCATGTCGACGCAGAGGGATTGGATCTGGTTAATGTCTCTTCGGATTACAGCGGCTTGATCATCTGAAGTCCCAGGAACGACGGTGCTTGATGATGAGAATGAAGAGGATGACGTGTACTCGAGACGCTCAATCCTCTCTAATGATTCTCTGGTCTTCAGCAACAGCCGCTTCGAGCTGGAGTACAGTTCCGATAGACTTCCGCCGCCGCTTTCTGCCACCGTTGCCATTTTCCCGAGGAAACGTTTCGGATATCCGGTGCAATACTATCCAATATGAGGAATTCCTGAAACCGTTTGCAAAACCCAATTTTTATGCCTCTTTTTGGTTAAATTAAAATTTAAGTCAAAGGCTAAAATAAATTTTAAAATATTTCATTCCCTTTAATTAAAATTTATTAAAAATTTTATTTTTATACAAGCGAACGAGAGTATATACTATCTCAATAAAATAATTTTATATATAATTTAACTTTTTTTTTTCATTTTTAGTCACATTTTTTGAAAAATCACTTTATTCATAATTCGTTTTTAGAAAAGAACGCTAGGGGCTCAATTTTTTATGAAATAATTTCAAAAATCGTTATAAAATAAAAATTAATTTGCCGTACCAAAAAATTTAGCCCTTGTTTGAACCCCAATTTTTTTAAAAATATATATATTTTTCAATAATGATTTGACATCATTTCAGCCCTACATTCTTTAATAAAGTAATATTACACGTAAATTCAAAATTTTCTTATTTCTTAACCATGCATTTCTCATCAATATATTATTCAAAAATATATTTTTTTTCCTATCAAAATGGGGCTCAAACAAGGGCTTCAAACTAAATTGGTCCAAATCGTTTAATGGGTCATTGTGAGCGTCGTCGATGGTGGAGAGGAGAGCATGTGCATCTACGTTTTTTAAGTTTACTTATGAATTAAGATTATTTACAAGTAAATTTTAAAATAAAATTTAAATAATGCCTCCCCTCTAAATAAAGAAAGTTCGTGAAGATCCATATTTTACCATCGGAGACTCCAATCGACAACGATTTTATTCTAAAAGGAATTCGTGTATCAAACTTATTTTCTAGTGTGAAAAGAAATGATAGTTCAATTAGGGTCAATGCACACAAATTTAAAGTCATTTCTTCAAATTGCTTTTCACTTCTTATAAGTTTTCAAAACTTTTGCGGTAGCTTAATCAATATTACATACGATGCTTTTTAAAAAAAAAAAAAATTAGGGAAGTGAACACTTTTAATCCGAAAAGTCAATTATACCCTTCTTGTTGATAGAATATACTATTAAAAATTTAGAAAGAAAAAGAGAATAAAATATAGAGAAGTCAATAGACTTGTATGTTTTATTAAGAATCAAAATCTCATATTTATAGGGAAGAATTGAGGATACAATAATCATAATGACTACATTGATAGAAAAGTTATTTACAAATATTATTATATTTACAAAGCTCAATCTTGAATGACTATTTACACAATAATTATCTTATTGAAACCTTATTTGGCAAAAATTGAAAAAATGAAATTACTTAAGAGTGATAAAGTGTTGCTTCGTTAAAACCTTATCAAAAAAATCTAGTGACACAAAATTTGATCAAAGAAAAAAGAGTACAACTACTCTCACTAATATTAATTCTTGTATCAAGCAATTCATGTCTCGTATGTCTTTCTTTAATATTGTTATCTTGTACATTAGTATCTTCAAATAACATTGCCTTCATATGAAAATATTTATCAACCTTTGTTAGCCATACTAGCATGATAATTCGAAAAATAGCTCTTGATGAACTCTTCAGGAATCTCATAAATATAGAATATCATTTTGAAGGTAAATGTATTGTATGTTTTATTACACCAAGAATATCTCTCGTTAAAACCTTATTAAAAAAAATCCTACAGAAAAAATCCTAATGAAAGAAAAAGAATACATTATTCTTTTGAATATTCTACAAAAGTTATCTTATAAAAAACCTTATCTGTAAACCCCCAATGGGACAAAACCTTGGTTAAGGAAATAAAGTACAATGCATATTTACTCCTTCTATGACAATATCACTTGAATTATACTTTATGCATGTTAAATCTTTTAGGGATAATATTAATAATTATGCCATATGAGTTGACCATAATACATTTCAAATTTCATTCATCGTCAAGATAATATAATATGGACTCGTGATTTCATCCATCACAATCTTTACAAAATTAACTACTTTGAAAGTCATGCATTACATATTATAACTTCATTTTTTTTAATTTTCTTTTTACATAAATATACACTTTTAAATTTTCAAACTGTAAGTCTAGAAACTTCGGATTTCTCTAATAAATTCAATTTAGAAGTGGTCCCTTTTATTTAACCAATCATTACTTCGATCGATATATTTAGATGAATTTATTTCATTTCCTTTTATTCATAATATGATGCAGTGCATCATATGCAAAAGTATTGGCGACAAATTTTTTTTTAATATTAGTTTTCTGAACCTTTGCTAAAGTTTTTATTTTTTGTATATTTAAATACTCATCAAGGGTATATGTCTCATTAATGGGACCATATTTACTAATTGCTTCATTTTGTTTGAAAACATAATTTTTAATTATTTTCTTTAAGAGCAATTAAAATATAACAAAAACATTAACAATAGTGCGTTATTATCGCTTCTTCAAGAATTATATATCAATATTATTCTAAAATATTGAAATCATAGAATCATGCTCTTCATAAACAATAACATATTATTATTTCAAATAATAAATTGTATAAGGATTTACTCTTATGAGTAAAAACATAATTTTTAATTATTTTCTTTAAGAGCAATTAAAATATAACAAAAACATTAACAATAGTGCGTTATTTTAGGAACAACAACAAATTATTTTTTAAAAAACATCAACTCTTCAAGAGTATATTTTTTATGAAAATATAACATTTACAGAATTGTGCTTCTTCAAGAACAACATGTCAATGTTTTTTTAGAATATTAAAAACTTTAATTCATGCTCTTCAAAAATAAGTAATATTCTTTTGGAATATTAATTATAATATTGTGCTATTTTAGGAGTAACAATGTGAATTATAAATTCAAAGTTTATAAAAGAGCATCTAAAAATATTTAATCTGGTTAAAAATATTAATTACAAACATATAGGATATTAATTTATATATAAAAATTAATTACTAAACATGCATTAAAAAAATAAGAATCTAGATATATAGAAGTTAACAAAATTGATTAAATTTTTTATTGATTAAATCTTTTACCTACATGCAAAAGATACCAAATATGCACAAGAATTTCGTATATACAAAAATTAAAGGCAAAAATAATATAGGGTAGACTAAAAAGACATAATTAATTTGTGAATGAATAATATGTAACAGAATTAATTGTGTATAAATCAAAATGCATGAATTAAAAGCATACCATGAATTTACTTAATAAACCATAAATTAGTACGTGGACAAGGACGGATCACCCAAAATTCGTCTCTGACAGATACATACAATTGTGAATTAGAATTAATATGTGTACAAACGAAAAGTAGAGAAGAAGAAAAACCTCATTATGATGTATATGTACATCATCATTAAATTAATTTTGGTACACGTAACAAATGATTATGCTTCTAAAAATTTTACATTCTAACTAATTCATTTTGATTTTAGAAAATCGTACTAATAACGTGTTATAAACTAGAGAACAAAATATAGAGAAGTCAATAGACTTTTTATGTTTTATTAAATCTCATATTTATAGAAAAAATGGAAGCTATAAGGAATACAATAGTCATAATAACTAAGGATGTAAAAGTCATTAATAAGTACTACTATATTTAGAACAAATATATACTATTTGGTGCCTCTTTTACGATCATTAATTTATTTTATGATTTGCTACAAGATCATTTTTAATCACACATTCATATAATAATATTCTAAATGTATACCAAAATTTTTTTTCCACTTTGTAATCACGCATCCTCCTAAAAACACTATTCAAAACTGATTTTTCCCCGCAATCAATGATAATCGAACAGGCTCTTAATGAGTGCACGACTCTTTAATATTTTTCAAGAGAGTTCATTTCATGCAACAGTTGCTTGTACGTTAGAACTGTCTAATGGCCTTAAAAGGTAGTTCTAACTATCTCGAAAGATGAAAAATAATTCGACTAATCAAAGTAACTGATACATAACATGTAGATGGGGAAAAAAAAAAAACCATATTTATCATATAATCACTCGCTACCTGATAGAATCCTGCATTGATTCACCCAATCAAAAAGGCGACCACTAGCTCGACTTAGAGTAATGTTATTTAGCTCCACTAATGTTAAAACACCCATCTAGATGGCATTAAGTGTTAGTAAATAAAAAGTACAGATAATTGAATCACTTAGTTTCAAATTTAATTGGACCTTATCACGTAATGACAAATAGATTATGACAAATAGATTGACGACATAACAACACCGACACTAGATAACATTATTCTTCGACTTATGATCAAAATTGTACATGTAAAAGGAAATAAACCGTGATAACATCTTCAATCATTTAGAGCAGTCCACAGTTTCGACGGGGGTGACAGGAATAGAGTCCCACCATTCTCTTAGACGCCGATTACTTTGTTCATTATTCATACGCTTCCCCAAAGGGGATGCCATAATATATCCACACGACATGAGGGCCATCAGGATGAACTTGAATGGAACCACCATAAACAAAAATGAGCCGCAACTCAAAGCTATCATAACTGTATCTGTATGCTGCAATAACAAGAAGAGTTGGAGTAAATTATGAATTACTCTTTAACTTCTTGGTAACAATATCATCGACATAGAGTGACTGTCGTATAATCATACCTTTGGAGCTTTAGAGACCAAAACTGACCAGATTTTCAACATCGCTATGTTTATATTCTGCATTACTTCATGTACAGTTCTTAATCCTTGTTGTGCTGACACTATGCTCTCCATCGTCGTCTGATTCGAACCTGTGTGGATTACAATTTTGTTTTGCTTCTCTGGAATCCTCGTCTGTCTAGCCCAAAGCATGGTTGCAACCACCCACAACAAGAAAGCTGCTATAACTGGGCCAACCCATTCTCTACACGACGAAACAATTTCGGCCTATCAGACTTTGAGCAGCAAGGAAAAGCTGAAGCATAAAACTCACTTCATTTGAACTTACTTGTAGATGACTAATAGTGACGCAAAAATCAAAATCAAAGTAGTTACGGGCCTTTCCCATGTAAAAATTCCTCGACACCGTAGGAAAAAATTCTTGAGCTTCTCAAGTAGCCCCTGAACATGAAAATAGCATCGCATTAAGTATTACTCCAGAGACCATGTACCGCACAAGTTATGTATATAATAGCATAATATCAACACAAGTATAAGACTATGAACAGATGAAATATCAACGGCTTTGAATCTACAAGTGTAAGATAGGGAGATGAAGATAACAGTAGACATTGTAAAACTATTCAAAAAAGAAGAACCAAAGAAGTGGTGAAAAATGAGACCATATAACAACAAGCTCATCTGAAGTACCTATGATAACCAGACATACCCATGGTATCAGAAAGAGTAAGGTAGCAAACCAGTAAACCATAATTCTGTAAAAAATTATCATCAAGCTTGAAATTCTTTTCGATTTTGTCCTTATAAAACATATATTTGTAAGACCATATAAATTACAGGCACATTATCACAGGCAATTAAGACAGAACGTGATCTAAAGAAACATTGAACTTCACTTGATTATGTACCCTGCCTACCATAAGAACTTGTGCACTTTCACTGATACCATCCTCTTTTAGCCCCTCTGCAGTAGCCTTCGCCATGTCCATTTCTTTTGCTTCCTCTTTTGCCTGGTTAACTGACGATGAAAGGTTTTCATGCTGGGAAATTTCTTCTTTGCCAATTTCTTTCGTCTCTAAACAAGGAACACATGGTTGGGAGACATTCAAGTTCCTGAGTATCGAGCTGGCACTGCATGGATATGCACCGGTAACCTTCTTCAGACTCTCGGCTAGCTCCTCAAGTATGTAGTCACCCTTTGGTAACTCACTGAGCAACGCAAAAATTAAAAAGCTATGTGGAATCGGTGGTGAAATTCTCAGCATTTCTCTAGCTGCATGAAGTCTGATGATTCCAAGTATTGTCCTTGCGTGCATTTCCCATGCTTCAAGTGGAGATTTTACCTTGAACTTCAAAAGAAACTGATGCAATAACATAATCTCCTTCACAAGAGCAAGCCAATGGTCACGTCTTGTTGAGCTCGTCATCTCTGGGAATTCCAGGACAACACCTTCTTGCCTTAAAAAATTTAAGTTTTTTCATATATCTTAAACGAAATCAACATTGATTATCTTAAACGAAATTAACATTGATAAAACAATTGTTTCAAGAGGAATATCCAACATTAACTCACAATTCAGAAGATTCATAAAGTATCGCTTTATCAAAAATAGGAGCACCCCATGGCCCTGTAGCCGTAGGTTTTAAACTTTGCTCAATGTCCTTTGAAAGGTCAAGTTTAAGAGCATCTTCATAAGATACTACACCAGATGCCTCAAAGTAGAGGGCATAGTTTGTTAGCGTCAACCTGCCTAGAATCATACATGTATATTAGTCCAAGAAAATTTATCTGTGTAAAAAGAGTATCTTGCACTTCTAGTAACTCTATTGCTGAAGAATTCAAAAATTAGTGAACAGACCAGGCCAACTGGTTCCTCCAATATGGCGCACTACTCTTTGTGAGCCTGCAGTTCCCTCCACGTGCAGTATAAATTCATCATCTGCCAGTGTTACACCTTTTGGTGTCTCTTGCTTCTGCAAATACTTTACACATCTAAAGAAAAGAAAACTCGCATCAACAGAAAAATGTGCGGCAAGGATATGCAAGCATGTTTCAGGTTAAGATACACAGCTTGCCATCCTCCGGGGGAATGGAAACTGAGGGAGCATTATAAATTTTTCCCCAAAAAACCACATGCTATTAAAGTTTTATTCCTATGAAACCATAAGATATGGATCAAATCGGTCGGGGTAGAGAGATGCAGCTGAGAAATAATGAAACTGGTAGCTACTCATTCCTCCTCCAAAAACGAATTAATTAAGTGCCTATGTACAACAGCAGCATTATCATCACGACCTTAATCTTTGTCACCAATCAGGTAAAATGCCACTTAAAACTATTAAAATGAGATACGACACGTCAGATATAATTACTTGTTAATTTCTTTCAAGAAGTGATCATAAGCAGGAAAGTGAAGTTGATTAGCAGTATGTGCTGTCAGTGTCTCAAAAGTAAACCTCCCATTAACAACATCGGCAGCCAAAGGAACGAGCATTGCCAACCATACATACGCTTCTTCTCCTACACTTGATTCATGATCAACCTGCCAACAACAGTTACCTTTTAGTATGAAAATATAACGGAGGCAATCAGACACCTTTCGTTCTCTTACAGATAACCTAAAAAGTAAAGGTTGCCTCCAGGATAAATGGACATTATTTTTTCTCAATTCTTATGTCGAAAATCAAACAACGGCAATTACGATTGGCATTTACTAGATTATTATGGCTTACACCTGGACTATGTTCAAGCCATCTTTCCTAGTAATAAACAGAAGTCAGATGTGCTTACGAGGAGTGGCATGAGATCAGAATAGAAAAGGGATACGTCATCTTGCTCTTGACTGGTTTTTATAGGTGCTTTTTTCTCCTCTTTTTCTTTTGCCACACATTCCTAGAAAACAAGAAGAGGAGCATAAATCAAGCAGATAAAAGATTTCAAAAGAATGGCATGCAAATTATATAATTTTCTCAAAAAATATTAATTCGTCAATGAAGAGGCATGGCCAAGGGAACTGCTGCACCAAAGTTGACACAGCCACAGATGGACTAGTCTAGTTAATATTTTAGTTCTAGGAACATCAAACAATACAATCAAGACATATAATTCACCCACATACCTGCTGAAAAAGGAGTGAAATGCTGGGCAGTTTTTTGAAACTTTATCCAAAGTGTGCACACTCTTGAAAAAGATCAAAACATATTCCACTTGTGATGCCGCACATAATGAACGAGTTGGTCTTTATTTGCACAAATGGCTCAAAACTAACATATTTAACTTCAAACACTCTTTGCTCTTGAACACGTGTAATGCTTGTCTCAAATGAATCAATCAATCTAAAAAGAGTAATGCTATTCATAATGAAGACTACTGATAGTCGCAACATGTCAGTTTGTTATGTGATGCATTAGTATGTTAATTTTTTATTACATTATGCATCAGATAATAAACTACCGTGTGGCATGCCATGTAGGACGACTATCGATGGTGTTAATTATGAATAGCATTATTCATCTGGAAATCATACTTGAACGCACGTAATAATTTATTTCAAATCATTTGCATAATTATCTTATACAGAAATAGAATGTTCTAGCTGAGTTTATTCTTTATGTCCACACAATCTTTTCTGAGTTCATGGAGACTATATATGGATTGAAAAGAACAAGTTTGTAATAACTTATTTTAGCGCATTTTAAAGCATAATATCATACTAATTAAGAACCTGTTTCGCCCCATTTCTTAAAACTCATTTTTTCTTAAACTCATATTTCATAGGACCCAAACTTTATTAATTTTTCAAAAACACATTTTATCAACTTCTATTAAAATCTATTAAAATCTACAAAAAACTTGAGTTCAATCCAAACCAAACAGTGGCTAAAGCCTTTGTAGTAGCACAGAGAGGGGAACTCGATCCCTTAGTCACATGAATAAACTGGAGAATTTCATAGGATGTTAGAAGGTTGAACATTTTTTCAGTCAATTCTCATTATTATGAATAATAAGCCGCCCTGAGACAAAATAAAGTTTGCTCACCGTATATGAATCTTCCTCAGCCGAACTTGGCATCTCCCAAGCGCTCATCATATCAAATGTGAAGCGGTTAAAGGAGCCATCACAAATATTTTCATCTATGTTGACACACATCACAGGAAGCACTTTTGAGCAGCAAAATTCTACTAGTTTCTTTGAATATCCAGTCATCTGAGAGTCCCATTCTCTCTCAAATTCTTCCACCAATGAATCTACAGAAGTATCCAACTTCCTGAAAGCATGAATATGCATTTTCTCTTAAATAATTCAACGTATACATGTTCAACAACCAGTTAAGCGGGGGGACAAACCCACAAATTAACCCAAAAAATTGTCAAAAATTTAAAAGAGGGAGTGAAAGAAATTACTGGGCACATCTGTTTAGGACGTCATTGGCAATGGAAGAAAGATGTTTCTTCTTCTCCATGTTTACAGCTGCGCTAATTCTGTGTATTAATTCCTTATTCTTCAATGGATGATTTTGGGTTTGAAAAGCCGGATGTCTCTGTGAGAGATGGGGATGATCCACTTTATAATGCGAACGACTGCTGTTTGCTGTTACATGGATTTGACACGTTGCGACCATGCAACAAACTGAATATGCGTTGTGCTTTGCCCCGCTTCGTCATCATCTTTGGATCGGATATCCCGTTCTGGATCAGTTTAAGAGCGGCCCAGCCAAACTATTTGAGCATTGCAATATGATCCAACTATGTAGACTGAGCCAGGGGCGGACTCAGATCTTTAGTATTGTGGGGTCAAAATTTTAAAAATAATTTTTTTAATAAACAACATAATATTAATGAAAATAAGTTTATATGTATTTTGATACTTTGAAAACGTCGTATAATTACATCATTATTAATATTATTAAATAAATTTTGCTCCTTATATAGTTTTGTTTATCATTTCATTGGTAAATGCTGAGCTAACATTGAGTAAATTAAATGAATTGAAATAAAATTCAAGTTTAGTTCAGGAAGTAAATGAAATTCAAATTTAAAGCAAATATAACTCGAAAGTAATTCAAATTGCATTTAATCCGTAACGACCCTAAAAAATTTACGTCATATTTCATGTAAGACTTCCGAATGAAACCATATAAATTATATTGAAAATTTTATCGTGCAAAAATAATAATTAATTAAATTTTTTAAAAAGAAAAAACGAGTTAGACGTCTTTTTTGAGACGTACGTTTGATACATATTTAATTATTTTCAATATCCGTTTGAATCATTCGATAGGTCGAAACAAAATTTTACATAGCATAGACGATTTGTGGATTCAGATAGCAGATGATCTCAAACGAATTTTTAAAGTTAGGATATTATCGAAATTTTCAAAATACTAATTTCAAACGCCATACTTTAACATGTCATAACTTTTGCTATAGTTGACCATTTCGCATGCCATTAATGAGTAAAAAACTAGGCCATGAGACTTCGAAATGGTATTAAGAATGCAATATTTTGATTTCATTTGACATCCCGACGAATGCATCAAATTAGATTGTTAAAAAAAAAAGGGCAAAATTTTGTGGGGTCAAATGACCCCACATGACCCCATGTGGGTTCGCCCCTTGACTAAGCCACACGCGGATATAGGGGACAGCATTTTTTTTTTTTTTTTTTGTTGCGTAGATGAATTTAAATTTTGTAAATTTATAGTAATTTCAAATTGTGTTTAAAGAAAAACTTTTATAATTACAGTTTATGTAATTTTTGTATATGTATTTAATTTTTTAGTGTGTAATTTTTTTTACATACATACACTCTTTGCTACGATGTATTTAGTTTTTCTAAATTATTGTAACATACGCTCTATATGGTTATAATGCATGTGATTTTTTGAAATTATAATTTATATTAGGTTAAAATAACTTAGACTCTATATTATTTTCGTTAAAGCATATATAATGCTTGTTTGACACACATTATTTTATGTTTTGTCATATGATCATTTTCAACCATACATTCATACAATAATATAATATGGGCACCAAATTCTTTCCTTAAATTCCTTCTAAGAACACAAAACATGTAATGCCCCAAATATAAAATAGACTTTTATGTATTTAATTATTTTATTACCAAAATATTTGAAATAATAAACTATCAAATATCAAAATGTTATAACTGCATTCTTAAAACGATTTCCAGACTGCTTAACAATAATGCGTAGTTGTATATAAAGTAGGTGTTTGATTTTGAAATTCTTATATTATTTTAGAATAGACATATATGTTTAACATAATAAATACTTTTACCATTGTTTTATTAATAATTAGTTTACTTAAAATATACAAGGGAAGATATTTGGAAATTAACATTATAAACAATAAACTATTTCCAAAATCCAAATAACATTTATAAGATCCATTGTATGACGAAATAGTTATTGTTCACAAGATTCCACGTCGGCGACAAAACAGTCCCATTGAGCCTCGACCTTCCGAACTCTGACATTTTCAACATATACTTCAATGCAATAAAATCATGCGTGCATATAATGAATTGCATGACAAATGTTGCAATAGTACAAACATCAATAAGAATCTTAAAAATTAAACTTAATCACGACTTTCAACATAATCTTGAAAATAATGTAGAAGTTTTCCTACGAAATAGCAATTACCATAATTTTCATCAAACTAAATCATTGTTGAAACGTTTGCTAATAGCTGCCATATAAATACGTTGGGATTTTCCCCAAAATTGTATGTGTAGATGAATCCCTTGCTAATTACCAGTGGGACTTTTACCTTCGATAAGTACCGACAAAAAAATTTCATCAATAAGTAGGGTTATTGATGGAGTTTCGAGCTTTAGCGTCAGAAATATACATGTTGAAGCAGCTATTTTTAGTAGTCTAGGTCTTCTTTACAATTTTTTTGTACTCGAGCAAATTTCTGAAACATTCCTATCTACTTTGGTGATGGTGATTGCATAATTAAAATTCAATAGATCATCTTATCTTTTCGAGTCCCAAGGTCAACCTCTCTAATACCTAGCATAAAATCGTCTATAACCACGACAATAAAGAATTTTAACTTGAAATATTAACATTGTACACTATTTTACAGTCTATTAAAATGTTAACCCCATTCCTCGTCTTGGCGAGTAAAGAATTTAAGGCTTGTTTGTCAATTTTTTTTTTAAAATATTTTAACTATACATTCAATAGGATTTTACAACTTTTCCTCACATTTTAACCACACATTCTCTAAAACATTTATTCTTCCCTTGAACAAATTTATGCCAAACAAGATTTTAATTTTTACCCTCGAGATCTAGGGTTCTAGAATGGTGAAGGATGAAAGTTTAGAAAGATATTGTCGTTTTTATTTGATTCTTAAAATAAAATGCCATCGTTTTTATTTGATTGCATTTAGAAAGATGAAAATGATGTTTCTTGCAAGTTCAGGATACTCTAAAATTGGGATGTAAAATGTTTTAAGATACGTATTTCGTACAAAATAGTTTTATTAATTTGTATAAATTACTTGATTGTAAATGGTAAAATTTTCATGAAATATACTCTCTCTCTCTCTCTCTCGACATAATGAAATATATATTTGCATACATTGTAAATGGTAAAAATTTCATAATTAGATTTTCTTGGTGGTGTCAAATCGGGCGGAAGCAACTTGATCCACTCGAAATAGGTCTGGTCAAAATGTCGTGGGAACTGACCCATAATCGAAGTGGCCGGTTCACGGGCCTATTGATGTAAATATCGGTTCGGGCTGATTGTACTGATTGGGCCCGATGGTTAATCGTCGAGTTCGTCGATATTTTATATATATTATTTAGTGGAAATTACATAAACCAATACATTTAGATATTCCATTTTATAAATCATATACAAGGTTTACTCTTTCAAAAATCAGATTTTTTTATTAATTAATATATTTAAAATTAATAAATTAAAATTTTGATAATTAAACACCCATTCACACCCTGATGTTGTTGTTGCTGCAACAACCGCACTGCCCGTAGCCAGATGCGGCATTGATATTGGAGGAAACTTGGAGGTTGATTTTTGGTTTTTTGGGTGATTTCTTCATATTCAAATCTAATCTACTTTAGCAAGAGTTGTGTGGTTGTTTTCTTGTCGATTGTTGGTGATGAGGTAGTGGTGGCGATTGTAGTAGTGGTGAAGTGGTGGTGGCAGCAATTTTGAAGTTGAAAATGATAGTTTGTGGGAGGTGGCGGTGGAGATGTTATAAGCAGTGGTGGTAAGTGCTCGGTGGCAGATTTGGGCTTTTTTTGTAGGGGTTATAGTGGTGGTGCTCGCGATTGTGGTGTTTGGATCCAATGATGACAGAAGGTATGTTAGATCTAGTGGTGGCAATAGTTGTGACGGCGATGGTGGTGGTCTAGTAGTGATCGTAGTTTTGGTTGTGGAGATGGTATTAGGTGACAGCAGTTTTGGTGACGATGCGACTGGTGATAGTGGTGACATGATGGTCACAAGCACTGGCGGTGGTAAAAAATAATTTGGTTGACTGTGATCATTAAATTGGTTAATCTGTGACAGACAAATAATATGTGACCAATAAAAACAATAAATTGTGACCTGTAAATAATGTGTAACATAAAAAATTGTTAATTTGTAATCAGTAATTTGATAATTTGCGACTGTGTAATAAGTTATGACTTATAATATTTGTGATTTGTGATCGATAAATAAATTGTGACTTATAATTTTTTTATTTGTGACCGATGAATAAATTGTGACCTATAATTTTTTTTGAATTGGGACGTAAAATTTCTGATTTGTAACCAAAAGATAATAAGTGACTAACTAAATCATTAATTTGTGACCAAATTGTATAGATTTGAGACCTAAATATAATTAATTAATTAAATCATAAATAAATTTTAATAAAAATCTGATTTTTTAAGTTTGAAATTTGTTTTCTTGATTTTGAAATGTGTGAAATTTGTTTTCTTGATTTTTAAGTTTGAAAATTGTTTTCTTGATTTTTAAGTTTGAAAATTGTTTTCTTGATTTTGAAATCAAAAATGCATTTTCAAAATATAAAAAACCATACAAATTTTGGGGATTTTGCAAAACGAAAATCTGAAAACATAAAACCAAACCCACCCTTAAATTTTTGAAAGTGCTTGTTCTAGTTAAATTATTTTCAAGTAGGGAACCTCGAAAAAAAAAAACAAAGATCAAGCTACTTACTAGTTAAAAATGAATAATACAATATTTTAATTTCATAATTCACTACTAAAAGTGGGAGTAAAATTTATCATTTGAAAAAGGAAAAAAATAGACAAAAAAATAGTAGTAATAATAATACAGCATTTATTTTAAAATGGCCTAGTATACACATGAATTTATTTATTTATTTTTTATTTTTATATGCATGCAAATAGGATGTAAATGAGCCGAGTCGTCTCACGAGCCGAAGGTCGTGGTTGGGGCAAAATATGGGCCGAACTTTTTTGTCTCAAGGCAAAACTCGGCTGAAAAATCAAGCTTAGCTCGAGCCTTACCGAGCCGGCTCTTTTTTTTTTTTTTTTTCTTTTCAAGTCGGGAAATTCGAAATTTTTTTAACATATATAAATTATGTGCAATTTATACTAATAATATTGTTGAAGCAAATTGACATCTTCAAAATTTTACCTTCATATTTATAGTAAAAAAAAAAATAAAAAATAGAAAATAAAATAAAACCCGTTTCTACAAATTTTGAATCTGAATGCAAAGTTGATGAAACATTTCAATTTTTTCTAATAACTACAACTGCTAAAGCAGCTGTAACTGCATGCCTGTGTTGCGTGTGAAGCAAGCAGGCAGCTGGCTATCACACACGAAAAATAGGCAACTATAAAAGATACTGGCCACTTTGGCCCGCGTCTATATACCACATTTACGGGCCAAAATGGCCCGTGTGAATTGGTGAGCTACACAGGCTGGCTCAAAGCTCAGGCCGATGCTAAAAAATGAGGCTCGACAGGGGCGGACTCACATGGGGTCAAATGACCTCACAGTTTTTTTTTTTTTTTTTTTTGCTGAAAACTTAATTTTCTGCCTCAAAAAGTTCATATCCTAAATCTATATCCATATCACATGGTCCATATCCATTATTTAGTCCATAGATATATCATATAATCCACCGATTTCTTCTCAAAGTGCAAACACCGAATATGAACGGCAAACAACCGATTTTTCCTTTTTGTTCACGATACGTTGTTCGAAAAAAAAAAATTTGACCCCACAGTTCAAGCTGTCTGGGTCCACACCTGAGGCTCGACATAATCCTTGAGCCGAGTTGGTTCGAACTTTTTTCGGGTCGAACTATGGGCTGTCCGAACTGACAAGTCGAATTGACATCTCTACGTGTTGAAGAACCAAGTAACAGTGCCAGACTTTTTGATACAAAATGATCCAAAACACACTAAAGTCCCTTGAAATTATGAAATATGTTCAATCTTAGCTCACAATCAAGGTCGGCTGATTAGAAAAAATAACGCACTCAAGAATATATGAATAGAACTAAATGAGTATAAAATCGAATCCTTGAGATGTATGAACTCAATACTAACCTTTTAAAATGATTAAGACAATAATGACAAAAGAAAAAAAAAACAATAATAAAACGATGATATTTTGAGTACGATCAATAGATTTGAGTTCCCGATCACACTCATGTAACATAAAAATGTTAGAACGAGAAGTCGAAATAAAATACAAAATTAAACGAGTCGAAATTTGAACATTATTGTTGGGTCTGAAGTATGAAGCAGTTTGTGGTTTAATACAGCGACTTTTTAAAAATAAAATTTGCTATCTTTAACATACTCAAGAGTCTCTAAACACCTTCACCTTTCTTTTCCTTTATTCTTGACAATATCAAGTAGCATTTCTTTGAATCAAAATAGATTATAGAAATAGTAATATTGGCTCAGTGCAAAAAACCGTCTTCTCCTGACGTCATCCTTTGGTCTGTCGACATTGGCAGATTTGGGCGACTTGGCGTGGGTTTATAGCCCAGTCCCTTCCCAACCCATTTCATTTTTTGGTGGGTAAAAAAAAAATAAAATTATATATATATATTAGCCGACTTAAAAATGTTTTCTTAATTCGATTTGAATTCTTCCGTGTGTCATGATAGCAACACCCATCATGTTGGCAAGCTGTTATGTTGTACCACCGTCCATATTGAGGAGGTGCACGATATTAAAAAAAAAAAAAGGATTGATATAAAATAATCATTTATTTTAGGGGTTATTTGACAAACTTTTAATTAAAAATTGATGAAATAAATGAATGAAAATATATTAAAAATTCTTTCCTATGTCATGATAGCAACACCCACCATGTCGGGTAGCTCTTATGTTGTACCACCGCACCTTCCATTAATGGCTCATACGGTTCATTTTCCCAAATTGTCAATGACATTTGTCTCATTTGGGGCATCTTGGATTTTTACGCGTCTTTAGTTACCTTGATTAGTTTAATGTCGGCTTCCATTATCTTTGTATTTTTAAAAAAATAAAATAAAATGTTAACATCTAAACTCAAATTATCATTTTTAAAATAACGATTTCGATAATCAATAATTTTAATCTAACAACGTTAATACGTCGATGGACTTAAATGAATTCAAATCAACAGTACTAAAATAATTATATCAATTCAATTTTATCGATTTTTAGCTTGCACATATATCTAGAAATTAGTCAATAGAGTTATTCAAAATTTCAGTATATTATTTAGTTAGATTGGGCAAATAATGTATTTTTTATTTTATTTTTTTTATTAAAAGTTTGATACGTGCATAAATTTTATAAATTAATTCACAAGACTTAAATTCAGAATAAAATTAGGCTTGTGATGGATATTAGCCTACTACCACCGTGAATCATCTCATTTGAAAATTTCAAATGAATAATTATATAAAAAATTTAGTATCAAATACGGTCCACGTAGCCTTGGTAGGTCGGTTGTGATTTATATGGATAATGTTATTAATGTAAGATGGATTTTTTGAGTGCCTATAAAATATGGCTACGCATGTCCATTTCTCCTCAGATCACATAGAAATCCTTTGAATATTGTTGTGTTCATTGTTCACTATTCAAGTAAGAGACGTATTGTCAAGAAGAGAGAAAAAATGGCAGGTATTATACAGAAGATAGAAGAAAAACTAGGGATGGGAGGTCACAAGGAAGGTGACGAGCAGAAACACCATGGTGAAGAAAAGCACAAGCCGGAACATGGAGGATATAGCGGGGATCTCAAGCCGGAACACGGAGGGTATGGTGGTGATCACAAGCCGGAATATGGAGGGTATGGTGGTGATCACAAGCCGGTACATGGGGGATATGGTGGTGATCACAAGCCGGAATATGGAGGGTATGGTGGTGATCACAAGCCGGTACATGGGGAATATGGCGAACACAAGGCTGAACATGGGGAATATGGTGAGCACAAGCCGGATTATGGCCATGGTGAGCACAAGGAGGGGCTGATAGAGAAGATCAAAGAGAAGATCCATGGTGGAGAAGGCGAACATGGGCTTGGCAAGGAGGAAGAAAAGAAGAATAAGAAAGACAAGAAGAAGAAGCATGAGCACGGTCACGAGCACCATGATGACAGCAGTAGCAGTGATAGCGATTAAACCTTCAAGGTCATCTTAAAGATTTTATATGTTGTAGTATCTAGTCTGTCTGTCTGTTTAATAATGTGCATCAAATATGCATCATAAAATGTTATGTTTTTAGAATCATTCTACTTATCGATCTTGAACTCGATATATGTTTTAGAGATTGTTTACTCTACGAGTTGCTTTCTGGCGTGTGTGGTGTGGCGTCGAAGGTCTTTCAGCAGCTAGTTGCTACAAATAAAGAGAAAAATGAAAATTTGAAAATTTATGTGTTTCTTTATTGAATGCTAATAGGACAGGAATACGTCTGCAATGCACAGTAGTGCTTTTGAATGTATTAATACAAAATAAATGATTTTCTCTTGTGTTTCGAAACTATTGCTTTAGCTTTAATAACTTTTAAAATTAATTTGAAATTACTCATGATTATTAGCTTGGTAGATTGTCCTATTTTTAGGCTTTGCTAAGGCTCTATTCCTTGAGGAAGTTACCATTTTATTTTGAGTGGTTATATTCATAAACCCTTTTAAAGATACATCATATTTTAATTACATAAAAGGATATCAAAGATAAACCATGTTAATTTGAGAATAAGAATGTGACGGAAAAAAAAGTTGGGAACATAAAATATTATAATGATTAAAGATTATGCACATTTCATACATTTGAATCGGTGTCTTTTCAAATAAAATTGTTTGAAAAACCTGATTTTGCTCTTTGATAGAAACCTTAAGTTTTTGTTGAATAGATTAAGTTGTAATTTTAAAGATTAAAATCGAGAATCAGATTGAGTTTATCAGTTTTCAATTAAAAACATCAAAACTTCAATTATTTTGCTAAAATCCAACAAAATTACCTACTCGATCGAACCTTGGTCCGTTTAACCTAGTGCCGACTTTCACAAATCTTGGTGGTATTGAGGGGCAAATGTGAGTATTTATTTTTAATTTACGTTCTATGTGAACCATTTATTGGTAGAAACAGTCATTCCATCTCTTTTTGGTGTTAATTTCTTGCTTATAGGCAATTCAATCACTTATTCCCCGTTGGATCAATATTATTTAGAAATTTTTTTTTTTAAAACTCATTTTCAATCATATATTCTTCTAACAAAATAATTTTAAACGACACATTCTCCCAAAAAAAAACCATCATAAAACTCATTTTTCTTATGCAACACGAGCTCAATCAGAAGTATAAGGGCATTTATGTAATATGTTGTTCATTCTTTGCTTGCTTGTCGAACGCAGGTAGGTGGGTTGGGGTGTGCCATCCAATCAAAGTCATAATTCTAACTTCATTATCTAGGATGGGATATGATTTTTATTTATGATTTTATACTCCTTTTTTCTAATTAATATTTAGACAACATAAAGTCTTAGCACGATTCATAATTATGTTATACTAAATTCTTTTGGGAACATGCTATATGTACACGGGCGTGTGTACAAATATCAAAATCCATTCTTTTGTTCGTTTGGTGCCCCACATTAGAAGAAAATTCGACTTGCTAAATTTAGATAGATTTTATTTTAAAACTTGATTGGAATTTTACAGATTTTTTCCATTTTCAAATTTATGTAAAATAAAATCAGTTGAGAGTAGAATTGTTTAATAGAACCAAGGAAAATTTGAATGATGTAATACCAAAACCATCGCCTTCGTATTCTCCTAATTTTTTACTTGATAAAAGTAGACAACTGTGGAGAATTTCACTAAATATGCAAATTTATCGTTTCAAATTCTTTGAAATATTAATATAAGATTACGAGACGTAGAAGAAGAAGAATAAAGAAAACAAGGAATTTCTGCAAAGAAAGATTAATGTATGCCAATATGCGGCGGTTTTGCCGATGTAAAATTGAAGGTAATAATCTAAACATATCTACTTCAAAAACAATAATCTAATTAATTAAATTAAGGGTTCCATATTTCTAATAAAATAAGGGCAGAAAAAAATGGACAATAATTTGGGTACTTGTGTTTACAAATACTCAAATAGAGAAAGGGTAATATAAAAAAATAAATAAAATAAAATAAAATAAAATAAAATCGTTAAAAAATAAATAATAAACTTCTTCATGGATATTCAAATACAGGGTTGGTAAGCAGTAAATCCACCAACTCATCACCTCTCCACTAGGGGCCACACAATTTTCAACAAATTTTCATTTTGAGCAGTCAACCTCTTGTTTCTTCAAATTTATCCTAAATCTCAATTGTATTTCAAATTTATCACAAATAATCATTCATCACGATGATTAATGTTATATTTCAATGTGACGAACGTATTAACTTACATGGACAATAAGAACATTAATTTTACCTTTTCATTATCTAGTTATATAATAATTGTAAAGATTTGGGTTGTTGAAATTCTTGATCCTAGTTGATGATCTACAATTTAATTGAAAACTCGGCCCAATGATTGGTCCATTTAACTGAAGGTTCCAGAACTGCTAAAATTGTGTTTTGGAAAAATGACTTCATTTTAAAGTGCGTCCTACGTTGGATTTCTTACACTTGGCATTTGGATGACTGTTGGATCATTTTACTGGACTTATCTCATATAAATACTAGTGCTAACCCTAGGGTTAAGAGACTTTTCTCTTTCGAACCCTAATCTTGATTACTGCCGTCTCTTCTTCTTTGTTCTCTTCATCTTCTGGATGATTTTTTGTGTGATTTCATAGTGAAAACTTATAATAGTCTGATAGAAGTGATGAGATCTATCTCTCAGTGAGATTAGCATATAATTTGTGAGGGCCTTTGTGGTTGTGAACGGCAAAACATTTTTCTTTCTTCTGTAACTTGGTTTTGTCCGATTTTGGGGCTGTGATAGTGGATTTGAGCGTAATCCTAACGGATGCTCAACAGGGGATGTAGGCGTTGAATTTGGTCGCTGAACCTCCGGGGCCTAGGGCAGAAAACTCTTCGTGTTCTTTATTTTATTGCCATTTAATTTATGTATTTTTGTTAAATCGGTTAAGTCACAAAAGGGGTTTGTCTTGTTCAGGACCTACAATAATTACAACTAGAACATGGAGGATATGACAGAGACCACAAGCCAGAACATGAAGGATATAGCAGTTATCACAAGCCGAAATATGGGGGATTTAGCAGTGACCACAAGCAAGAATATGGCAGGTATGGTGGTGATCACAATCCGGTACATGGGGGATATCGCGAACACAAGAAGGGGGTGATTGAGAAGATCAAAGAGAAGATCCATGGTGGAGAAGGCAAACATGGGCTTGGCAAGGAAGAAGAAAAGAAGAATAAGGAAGACAAGAAGAAGAAGCACAATCACAATCACGAGCACCATGATGACAGTAGTAGCAGTGATAGCGATTAAGTCTTCGAGGGTGTCTTAAAGATTTTATATGTTGTATTATTTAGTCAATGTTTGTTTAATATTGTGCATCATAAAGTATTATGCGTTACGATTGTTCTGTTTTAGAGGTTGTGTACTCTCTAAGTTGCTTTCTAGCACACGCGTGGTTTGGCGTCGAAGGTCTTCATCAGCTAGTTGCTACAAATAAGGAGAAAAATGAGATTTTGAAAATTTGTGTCTTTTTTATTGAATGCTTAATAGGGCAGGAATACGTATGCAGTGCACTCTAGTGTTTTTGAAGGTATTAATATAAATTACATGATTTTCTCTTGTGTTTCGAACCTATTTTGTAGCTTTAATAAATTTTAAAACTAATTAGCAAGTTCTCGTGAATATTAGTTTGGTAGATTGTCGTATTTTTAGGCTTTGCTAAGGTTCTAATCCTTGATGAAATTACCATTTTATTTTGAGTGGTTTTATTCATAAATCCTTTTTAAAATACATCATATTTTAATTACATAAAAGGACATCAAAGATAAATAATGTTAATTTGAGGATAAGAATGTGATGGAAAAAAAGTTGGGAACATAAATATTATAATGATTAAAGATTATGGACATTTCATGCATTTGAATAGGTGTCTTTTCAAATAAAATTGTTTAAAACCCTATTTTTGCTCTTTGATAGACACCTTAACGAAATGGTGGTAGAATAATAACTCTTAATCTACCTGGTGGTCGATGGCGTTCCTGCTACTCAGGCGAACGTGTATAACCTGAAAAGTTAAGGGGGGCTTTCTCCCCCGTTTTACCTCCGGTGTAAGAATCAGTAAATGCGTCAAAAGAAATAAGAATGGAATTCAGATAGCTAGAAAATGTCCAAAAAATTCCCTTACATGTCTCGTCTTCGGGGGTATTTATAGGTGCTGGAAGCCGGGTGAGTGCCACGCGATCGTTCTGCCACGTGTCCCACGTTGGATTCCCCACTAACGCACGTTCTCTTGGGGGATCTCTAACTTTCCGCCTGAAGATTGTGCCCATAATAACCACCATGGAGCTTTGTCAATTTACCAGAGATTTTTGACTACGTGTTAGGGTGGCCACATAAGTCACTTCCGGGAAGTAGATGGCCTCGTGTAAAGGTAGAGCTCCTCCAGGGAGTCGATGGTCTCGCGTAGAGGTAGAGCGCCCCCGGGGGGTAGATGGCCTTATGTAAAGGTAGAGCGCTCTCGAGGGGTCGATGGTCTCGCGTAGAGGTAGAGCGCCCTCGGGGGGTCAATGGCCTCGCGTAAAGGTAGAGCGCCCCAGGGGGTCGATGGCCTCACGTCGACGTGTAGTGACCCGCCTTGTTCGTCATTGGGGGTGGTTCCGTAGGCTAACTTATATCATTAGCCCCTACCCTTTGTTGATGTTAATCGGCAAGGGGTAGTAATTCCCCTGTCCCAGGTCTTTTTTTTTTATTCGCCTAAATAAGTCGAGCGGTATAATTTAAAGTTGGAGGCTTATTTCACTGCACACTTGGTACCCATCCATTGGCCCTAACTTGGAGGGAATTTTCCCCCCCCAAAAGAATTCAAATTTTATTGCTTATAAAAAGGAGGTGGTCCTTCACATGTGAATCATTTTCTTCTCATCCCAACATATTAGTCTCCCATCTCTTCCAAGGTGACTCTCTTCTCTTGCTTCTTCATTTTTTGCAAAATCATGTACAAGACTATCATTTTTTCTTCTTCTTCCGACCAAAGTAGTGGTGGGGGGTCGATCGATGTCGAAAAAATCAGGCTGGCTGGTCGACCGATCGGTCTGGTGGAGCTGGTCGAGTGACCAGTTGGTCCCCGCCTCCCGCTCGCGAGACTGGTCGCTCCTACGACCAGCCGAAGTCCTTCGACCTCCCTCCTTTTGTCCGATGGGTTTCCTTGTGAGTTTTGAATTTCCCTAAGAGACATATTGGCTCCACCAAGTCCCCAAATCAAAACTTAAAAGTTGGGCGGGCTCCGGCTAGCGAGATCGTCCCCCTTGAAATTCCAAAAAGTTATAGTCTCTACAACTCCCCACTTAAGTTGGAAAAATGTCTCGCTAGGTATGATAGGGTCGATAATTACGTCTATAGAGTCTCAGGTCCTAAAGAAAGGCTTCCTGGAGCCGATCCGCGTGAGGTAGCCGTATATAAGGACATTATGGATGGGGTGTTCAATTTCCCATTCATCCCTTCTTGGTGCCGATTTTCAATGAATTCCACCTTACCCCTAGTCAAATTAATCCCAATGCATGGAGAAAGGCATTTTATTTCTTGTATGTTTTCATTAAGAGGAGAATTCCACTTTCTATGGACCTTTTTAGGTGCGTCTTCGAGATGCAAGAACTTGCTCAGTACAATGCGTTTGTCTTTTTCACTACTAGGACTCTTTTTCTCTTTCACAAGTTTAGGAATTCAAACAGCGGGTGAAAATCCCAGTTCTTCTTCGCCCAACCTCCCAAAGGTCGATTCACCTTCAATACCAATTGGCGGCATCCCCAAGTCCGCCTTTTCAATAGCCAAGTAGAAATTACTTCTCTTCTAAAAACTCAAATCCAGGAGTTGGTCGATGTACCCCCCCTTGCACCTGACTTAGGATCGGTTCTGACCATGAAGAACATGTTAATAGTTGGGATGAGTCGTCCTACTGGTAGGTGGTTTCGTTAATTTTTGCGATTTTTTGCTTGCACATATTTTTTGCTTGTTGTTTTTCTGGGCTAATGAGTTTTGGCGTATGTATGTAGATATGGATTTTGATCTTGACGAGGTGTTGAAGGCCCTGATGGGTGGTGACGAGGACCATGCTCCCATTGACGGTAAACTCTTGAGCCTCCCTTCCTTGTTTTATGTTTTCACATTCTTTTGTTTTGCGAGCCTGACGGGCCTTACCTTGCATGTATAGGGATGTAATTTAACCTGGAGGGGACCATAGACTCTATGCCTGAATAAGGGCATGGAAGTGATATTGAGCCATCCCCCGCTCCCTTAAAGAGGAAAAAGATAGCTGACCAAGAGGGAAGGTCTCAAGTAGCAAAAGAGACTCCCCAGCCCTCAGACGAGCCTATCGAGGTTGCTCCTGTACCTAGGTCAAGATCTTCCAGTCAAACACAGGGGGAGCACGAGGATTCACTTCCTAATTTCGGGTTTTCTCCTACCCGAGGCTATCATGAGATGGGGGTGCTTAAGTCTTTGGTAACACCCGCTCGGGCCAAGGCGATTGTAGGACGCAGCACAGACGACATCGAGAGGGCTGCGGCGATTTATCTCCAGAGGGTATGTTTATAATTCTATATCTCTTTTACGCTGAGTTTTATTTTTTGAGCAAGGTTTTTCTACTTGACTCTCACATTATCTCCTCATTCTTAGGTGGTGCCCTTCAGATCGGGCTTGCTGAATCGAGTCGTGGCCAGGCCTTAGAGTTGAAGACTCTTGAAGAAGAAAAGAAGAAAGAGGCTCATCACTACGAGAAGAAGATATCTTCCTTGAAGAAATTTTTAGAGGCGTTGGAGGCTCGAGCCCGCAAGTAGGAGACAAAGAATGACAATTTGCGGTCTGTGTTGGCTTGTGCTCCAGAGGAGGCGGTCGAGAGGTATAAGGCCTCTGCTGAGTATACTACGGACTTAGAGGCATTTGTGGAGCAGTACAAGTCATCGTCTGATTATACGAGGGCCTTGCATTCGTACGGGGAGAAGACGATGGCGAGGTCCATCAAACTAACCAAGGAGTGGATATCGACCGAGCACCCTTCTATTGACCCCTCAGGTTTTGATAAGTTCCTTGCGCAGCGCAAGGGGAAGGAGAGCGGAGCGTAGCCATCTAGGTCACTTGGTCATTCATCGCGGGGTGGCAGCGATGGCACTTCCCCTTCAAGTTGAAGCATGGCTTAGTAGCAGCATCTTTTGTTAGTTTCTCTCTTTTTTGTGTCGCCTTTTATTTCTACTTGCAGCATCATTCCTTACTTGTCCGGGGTGTGGGCAAGAGTACATCACTAGTTTTTTTTGTATGAATGTTGTGCTATCAGCGGTTATTAACGTTGAAACTTGTTTTTTTCTAGTGTTATTTACCACATTCTGTTGTTTGATAGCATGGGTGAATTTCTTTAGTCCCGCGTGCGCTAGGCTTGATTATAATGGTCGATGGCCTTAGCCAATTTTTTGGCTTTTCAAGGTTCTCCGTCTTGCCGCGTGGGCTATGTCAACTATCAGGATGTGGTTTGGCGATTAAGGGCCTTAGCCAATTTTTTGGCATTTCAAGGCTCTCTGCCTAGCAGCTTGGGCTATGTCGACCATCAGGAGGTAGTCTGGTGATTAAGGGCCTTAGCCATTTTTTGGCTTTTCAAGGCTCTCCGCCTAGTTGCTTGGGCTATGTCGACCGTCAGGAGATGGTTTGACGATTAAGGGCCTTAGCCAATTTTTTGACTTTTCAATGCTCTCCGCCTAGCCGCGTGGGCTATATCGATGGTCAGGAGGTGGTCTGGCGATTAAAGGCCTTAACCAATTTTTTGGCTTTTCAAGGCTTTCCGCCTAGCCGCTTAGGCTATGTTGGACTGTTAGGTGGTGGTCTGGAATTAAGGGCATTAGCCAATTTTTTAGCTTTTCAAGGCTCTCTGCCTAATTGTGTGGGTTATGTCGATCATCAGGAGGTGGTCTGACGATTAAGGGTCTTAGCCAATTTTTTTTACTTTTGAAGGCTCTTCATCTAGCCGCTTGGGCTATGTCGATCGCATGTCTTCACGGGATGAGCATGGAGATTTAAAATTGCCTGTTAGCATAAAAAAATACTTGGATTCGTGAGCTCAGTAGGCGCACCGGGACGTCCCAGCTAGGCTGGCTTCCTTAGCGCACTCATCATCCGCCACTACCAAGGTTTTTCATTAAACACGATAAATAATTGTACGCCTTTGTGAGGCGTTACATGGAGGGAATTAAAAACGCAACCTATTCTACAGTATTTACAAGAACATAGCCTATGCATCTATCCTGAAGTCTACTGGTAATATCTTTTGA